TCAATCAGTTAAAAATAACTGATAGTCAGTCACTGATTGTCAGTTAATCTAAATGTTCAAATACACCATTGACAGATATTCGTGCCATTTCTCTAACGCAGAGGGACAAATTAACCATCTTGAGAAATCCCTTCCTTATCCGGCGCGGAATGAATAAATATGGCAACCTAACCCCTAAATTAAATACATATAAAATGTCAGAAAAATAATTTCGCGCGCATCAGATCGTACACATTTTCTGCGCAACTTTTAACCCTCAGATATAATGGGAGAGAGAGAGAATATAATATACAAGTAGATTTCCATTATCAATTCAAAATTTATTTTAGAAGGACTATTTAACTCTCTTCATAAGCAAAGGAAACATACACTTTTTGAACCTCTGAATTTGACTCTCCATAGTTTTCTCAGTGTAATTAATTGTTAATATAGAACTAGCAAATCTGATTTGTTATTGCAACAATTTTTTTTGTTCTACAAACAAATTAATTGTTATCACAACAATTTTGTTTGTTAGGAGAACAAAAAAACTGTTTCAACAACAAATCAGATTTGCTAGTTCTATATTAACAATTAATTAGTAGATTTAACAATTCCTTTTTCTCCGTGCAGTCACTAAATTTTACTATATTTCATGTACAGTGGAACCTCGATTAGATTGTTTTAATATTATTTTGTACTATTTAGTGACATTCATGTCGTCTTGTAGGTATTTACATTTAAAATCAGTGGATGGTCAATAAATCTTTTCTATTTTTATAAGATTTTTAAACCAGTAGGTGTAAAAATTGAAAATTTGTGTTTTAGATAACAAAAAAGTTTGGATAATGGAAGTAAGGATAAAATGATTTAGAGTTCCGATAACAGAGGGTCGTATAATCGAGGTTCCACTGTAATAGTTTTATTTATTTGTATATACAGACGGATCAAACACTTTCGTATTAAATTTTTTACAAAACAGACCTGCCAGAAAAATTTAATGTTGACTTTTTTTTATTAAAATTCATGAAAATAATTGAATTTCTGCGAAGAATTTTGTTATTTATCAAGATAATTGACTTTATTCAAAAAATCCCGTTAAACTTTTTGAAATTAATTATATTTTAAAAATTTAACTTATCATTTCATCAGTATTGGAGTTAAATTTTTCAAAAAAATTAGTTTGACAGAATTGTTAATTAAAAGTACGAAAAATGTAGATTTTCAAAGTTTTAATTTGAAGCCAAAATTCAATTATTTTTTTAGAGTTTTTAACTAAAATTCTTCTCGAAATCAATTATTCTTAATAATTAAACATATATTTAAAACTTTAACTAATTTCAACAAAATTGTATTAAAAATAATTGAAATTCTGCGCTGAGTTTAATTATTTATGAAAATAATTAAATTCTATAGCAAAAATTATATTATATTTACGAAAATAATTGAATCCCTCAGATGAAATTTAATATTAATATAAATAATTGAATCCTTGAGTTCTATAAAATAATTTTAAATCATTGACTTTTCCGAAAAAATTAATGCAAATTTATTTATTTATTTATTTATTTAAGAAACATAACGGGACATGCCCTTTCGTACAAAAGTACTCCTAAATCTAATATAACAATGAATTTTCAACTTAAATCTAGGTTGAAACTTTTTATGTGCAAATTAAATAATCTCAGTTTCTATTAAACATTATGTTACGCAATGCCGTTGTGAACCTTGTAACATTATTATCAAAGAAGTTTATTTCATTAGAAATTAAATTAGCTTCTCTAGTGAGTCGATCAATTGATGAATTATTACCATAGTTCGTTCTATGAAATGCCACTGAGAATAACGTATAACGTCTAGTAAACAAATTCATATTTACAGTTGATATTGAAAATAATTTAATTTGAAAAAATTTTGTTAGTTTTGAAAATAATTGAATTTTGCAGAGAATTTTATAAAAATTCAAGAAAATAATTGAATTCCTGCGAAGAATCTTACTAGTTTTGAAAATAATTGAATTTTGGAGAGAATTTTATTAAAATTCATGAAAATAATTGAATTTCTGCGAAGAATTATTTGATTAGTTTTTGAAATAATAGAATTTTGCACAGAGTTTTATTAAAATTCATGAAAATAATTTAATTTCTGCGAAGAATTTGGTTTTTTATCAAGATAATTGACCTTTTTCGCGAAGAATTCCGTTAAAATTTTTGAAATACTATCAAATATATATTAAAACATTCGACCATTTTCAACAGAATTGAAATTTAAATTTTTCAAAAAAATTAATTCTACAGAATTATTAATTATTCAATTATTTCTAGAAATTTCAATTATTTGTACCTCAGTTCTCAAATATTCCATTATTTTTTGGAATTTTTAACTAAAATTCCTCTCTAAATCAATTTTTTTTAATAATTAAATATTTATTAAAAAATTCAATTAATTTAAAAAGAATTTGAATTAAAATTTAAAAAAAAAAATTTTGTATAAAGAACTTATAAGTTCTTTATAATTTCTAATTACGTTCCTTCAAAATTGAAATTTTCTAAAATCTCAAATTGAAACCTTTTGAAATTTATTTGTTAATGAAAATTGTAAACGCAACTCATAAAATTCAATTATTTTTTAAATTTTTAAATAAAATTATTCATTAAATAATTTGTAAATCATAATTTCACACTTTTCCACATTTATTGTCACAAAAAGAACAAATTTAATGTTTTGTATTAGAATTCGTGGTATAATTTCATAGTTTATGAGACAAACAAAATGACACAAAAATTCAGAATTTTTTTATAAATTCTAAACATTTAATTTTTTCCAGTACTTTTAATAAAATTTCCGGGGCGGTATCAATTGCCCTCAATTCAACTGTATACAGGAAAACTGCCCACAATAAACTGCATACTGGAAAACTGCATACAAGCAAATTTTAATAATAAAATTATTAAATTTAATTTGAAAACTGTATAAATCTAAACTGCATACCGTTAAACTGCACATAGGTAAACTGCACACAAGTCTAATTTTCTATTAAATTTATAAATAATTAATATTAAAAACCTGTATACAGTTAAAGTGTACATTGGTAAACTGCATACAAACTAAATTTAAAAAATTAAATTAAAAATTTATTTATTGTTTAATTGCACACCGTTAAACTGAACATTGCTCAACTGCATACAAAATAAATAAATAAATTAAAAAAATTTAATGTATCGTCAAATTGCACATCGGTAAACTGCATACATATCAACTGTATACAGCTAAGTTCTCTTCTATGAATATATTCGCAACTGTCAACTTCATAGAAGAGAACTTAGCTGTATACAGTTGATATGTATGCAGTTTACCGATGTGCAATTTGACGATACATTAAATTTTTTTAATTTATTTATTTATTTTGTATGCAGTTGAGCAATGTTCAGTTTAACGGTGTGCAATTAAACAATAAATAAATTTTTAATTTAATTTTTTAAATTTAGTTTGTATGCAGTTTACCAATGTACACTTTAACTGTATACAGGTTTTTAATATTAATTATTTATAAATTTAATAGAAAATTAGACTTGTGTGCAGTTTACCTATGTGCAGTTTAACGGTATGCAGTTTAGATTTATACAGTTTTCAAATTAAATTTAATAATTTTATTATTAAAATTTGCTTGTATGCAGTTTTCCAGTATGCAGTTTATTGTGGGCAGTTTTCCTGTATACAGTTGAATTGAGGGCAATTGATACCGCCCCAAATTTCCGGACCTTTTAAAAGTGAAAAAAAGTATATTATTTAGAGAGTATACGAGTGATACTGATACGTTTTTTTTCAAATAAAAGCCGAGATATAATGATAAGTTTTCTGGGTAAACTTTTAATTAATGTGGAAATGACGAAGTTGGACAACAAAGAATTAAAAGTGGGCCATTACGCCCTGGCCTCACCTAATTTTTCTTTTCAGAGTATACGTTCATACACATTCCGTTTTTAGAAGATTTAAAATATCTCACTTAAGAAATTTATTTTATCCTCGCAGATAAAAATAATACAATAAAAGCACAAAATTGAGAAAAAAAAGGAAAAAAAATTTATCACCAAGTTTATTTATTACAATTAAAAATATTATTTTTGCAAAGTTCGCGGAAAAAATTGGAAAAAATTCAAATTTAAATGAATCTGTATCAAAGGAAAATTTTAGAGAGTATAAAAGCATAAAATAATCTCACTACTTCGACGAACATTGAAATGACCAAGTACAAGAAAAGTTAATTAACTGAAATTAAAGTAATTAATTAGCAAAGTTACAGAGCAAGAGAGAGAGAAAATATCAAATATATTTTAAACACTATTTCTACCGTCCTGCGAAAAGAAACAATTTTCAGCTAGATTAACTTTATATTTAAAGAATTCGCTCTTTTATTATTTTTTACTATTTATTTTTCATTTTTCACATGGAAAAATTATAAGTAAATACTAAATTTTCATTAGGAGGAATTTTTTTAAGACACAGAACACAAAGTTATTCATAAATACGGAAGATATTTGATTTAAACAAATTTTCTTTGACCATTCTTTGTTCAAAGGAACTTTGATTGCACTTTGAGACAAACAAAATGTATTCAAGGAATTTTTTTTTTTTTTGAATAAGTACTTTCACGAATCTAAAGAAAAGATTTTGTTTGTAAACTTTATGAAACATGAAATTTTTACAGAACAAAGTAAAAGCTAATAAATTATACTTTTTTCTGGCAAAAGAAATATATCGAATGAATGAGAGAAAAAAAATTTAAATCGAAAAATTGCTATGTAAAATAATGAAAGAGTGTGCGGCGAAGAAATTCCATTATCAATAACCCAATGAATCGTTGACCTTAATACATCTTCAATATTACATCCCTATTGCCGAATATATTGAATCGAAATTTTTCTTTTGGAAATTTTTTCTCTATAAATATTTTATATATATATTTTTGTATCTATATTTTTTGATAGCAATTTATAAATTAATAAAGGAAAAAAATTTACCTATTACAGTGAAGGAAATTCTTGTTCGATTTGCAGCAAACGTTTTGAGGAATAAAAATTAGTAAATACACATTCGAATTAAAGAATATATTGTAGGAGAACACGCGGTGCGAACACACACGATCGAGTGGTGCGACTGATTCACTGACACCGAGAATAAACCCCTATTCTTTCCTTCACCCTCATAACGCCGATTTCTCCCCATTCACCCACTTTTAATATCTCCCTAAGACATGATGATTTGTAGAATTCGTATCTGAGATTATGTTCAGCAAACTCAATCGAACGTAAAGGGAATAAATTTTTTTATTTGCGCTCAATTTCTCTAATAATATCACTAATGCCTCTAATAATTGAAAAAATTAATTTCAAACGATTTGAGCAAGTTTCACTCAGTTAGTAATAATTTATTGTTTTATTCTCTAAATCCAGGCCTTGGGTCGACTTTAAGGCGCAAAAACATGGTAGCCACAGAGTCTGGAAATCCTGGGAAACCTGGAAAAGGTATGGAATTCAGAAAAGGGTATGGAAAACCTGGAAATAGAATGGAATTTTAAAAAATTTCTGGAATTTCGCCTGTTTTTAAAGATTTTTAACAAATTTTAATTTAAAATTATTATTCCATGATTTTTATAAATAATAACATTTTTTACAGGGATTCAAGTATTATTTTCATAAAAAATACAATACAACTCATCACAGACTTTCAATTATTTTTAATTTTTAATACGATTTTAATGAAATTCCTCGAAAAATGAAAATATTCTTAAAATTTTTATTAAAATTCAGCAAAGAAATTCAATTATTTTAAAAACATTTGCTTTAATTTATTTATTACAATTTAAGTATTATTTTTAATTAAATTTCTTCAAAAATTGAATTATTTTAATAGATAATGAAATTCTTTGTAACAATAAAATTTTTTTCAAAATAATTTTCATAAAATTCTTCGAAGAAATTTAATAAATTTCAAAAATTTGTCAAAATTCAATTATTTTCAATGTCTACTATTTAAATAAAATTTCACAAATGAATTCAATTATTTAAAAAGAAATTTTAATAAAATTCGTCTCAGGAATTCAATTATTTTTAAAAGTATTATAATTCTTCGCAGAAATCTAATTATGTTCAAAAATTTACAAAATTTCAATTATCTTTATAAAAATTAAAATTCCTCTTCGAAATTCAATTATTTTCAAAAATTATCATAAAATTCTTGGCAGAATTTCAATTATTTTTAATACAATTTTCATCAAATTTCTCGAAAAATGAAATTATTCTTAAAAATTTCATTAAAATTTGTCAAGAGAATTAAATTATTTAAAAATTTTGTTGGTAAAATTCTGTATGAAAATTCAATTTTAAGAAACATTTAATTATTTAATAAAATATTTATTTTTGCAGTTAAATATTTGAATTCTCGTAGAATGTTCTAATAAATATTGATTTAAAAATGAATTTCAGTTAAAATTTTAGATTATAATTCAATATTGAAAGCATTATAGCGTTGATTTCTTGAAATAATTGAATTTATAACAAGTTTCAAATTAAAATCTTTGATTATTTTTAATTTTATACCTACTTTTAATTAAGAATTGTGTACCTAGAATTAAGTTTTTTTTAAAAATTTAATGAAATTTTTTAAAAATTATTTAAAGTTTTTAATTTCTAATACATTTAATTGAGGAATGTCAGAATAATCGAAATTTTATAAAATTAAATTGTAAAAAAAAGAGTTTAAAAATTCTCAAAGAATTTTTTCAAAAATTATTTTTAAAAAATTGACTTAAAGAAGAATTTTAGTTGAAAATTCTAGAAATGAATAGTCGTAATGATGAAAATAATTTTCTCCAACACTTGCTCTGAAAGGAGTACTTTTCTTGGTAGAAAAGTGTGGCGAAAGTAGAACTTTTCTCAACTGCTCTGAAGAGCGTGGCGAAAGTAAAATTTGGCGTGGCGAAAGTAAATCATGAATTTATTCTTTTTTCTTGTTCTTTGACCGAGATTTATTTTGTATCTAACTTCTTCCCCACTCAAAACATTCGTCTTTTATTATATTAAACATAAGAACATTTTAAATAAAAATTATACGAAACTCACGAAGAAACCTTTCCTCGCAAGGCGTTGGAGAAAACGTAGTGCACAACTCGTGGTGAAAGAATGATTTTTCTCGAGTGATTGCTGCTCTCGCTACGCTCGAGCCGCAAACTTCGCCACTAGTTGTACAATGTACTATTTGAAGAAGTTACAGTAACAATAAAGTAGCAAGTTTTAATTATTATAAGTTATTGAATTTGAAATTTTTGAAAATTTTAATTTCTATATATGAAAAAATAATAATGATTAAATATTTATTTAAAAATGAAGTAATTGATATTTTCGAATAATTTTCGTATTAAAAACCTGGAAAAATTCCGTTTTTTAATCTGGAAAACCTGGAAAAGTCAGGGAATTCAAAAAGAACAAATTCTAAATTGTAATTAAAAAAAAAAAAGTTTCAAAAAAATTAAAATGACTATTCTTATGTGAAGAGGAGGATTATAGTAAGTCTCTAAAATATGTGGTTACGATCTTAATAAACATTATTGTTTAAAAAATAATTGTTTATTGTAAAATAATTGTTTCATTTTTTGTCGCAAATACAATGAGTGAATTGGCTTGAAAATGGTTACTCTAGGGTTTTCGAGGTCGCTGATTACGATTCTAAGGTCAGAATTCAAAAATTCAAAATGGCGGATCCAATATGGCGGTCAAATTTGTAAAAATTGATTGGATTCTTCTCAAATTTGTTGTCCAGGGGATTTTGGGGTCGCTGATTACAAATCTGATGTTATTTTTTTTAGAATTCAAAATGGCGGATACAATATGGCGGATAAAATATTTGAAAATTAATTGGATTCTCTTAAAACATGTTACTCGGGGGTTTTTGGGGTCGGTGATTACGAATCTGCGGTCATAATTCAAAAATTATAAATGGCGGATCCTATATGGCGGTCAAATTTAAAAAAATTAATTTTATTTCTTTGAAATTTGTTGATTAGGGGTTTTTGGGGTCGCTGATTACAAATCTGATGTTATTTTTGTTTTAAATTCAGAATGGCAGATCCAATATGGCAGATAAAATGTTTAAAAATTAATTGGATTAGCTTGAAATTTGATACTTGGAGGTTTTCGAGAGTGAAGATAACGAATTTTATTTAGAATTTATTTTGAAGCTAATCCAATTAATTTTTCAATATTTCGTCCGACACTTTGAATTTTAAAAAACTAACATTAAATTCGTAATCAGCGACCCCAAAACCCCCGAGTAACGAAATTTAAGACATTTTACTAAATTCTAAAATATTTCGTCAGCCATTTTGAATTTTAAAAAACTAACATTAAATTCGTAATCAGCAACCCCAAAAACCCCCGAGTAACGAAATTTAAGCTATTTCACTAAATTCTAAAATATTTCGTCCGCCATTTTGAATTTTAAAATAACTAACATTAAATTCGTAATCAGCGACCCCAAAACCCCCGAGTAACGAAATTTAAGCTATTTCACTAAATTCTAAAATATTTCGTCCGACATTTTGGATCCGCCATTTTGAATTTTAAAAAACTAACATTAACTTCGTAATCAGTGGCTCCAAAAACCCCCGAGAAATGAGTTTTAAAATTATTTATCATTTATTTAGCAAAAAACGAAAAAAGTACTGTCGGTTACGGAATGGAGTTTTTGCTCCCTTTGGCGACGCTTAAATTGATTAGATACTTATATATTAAAAAATTTTCTAAACTTTGAATTAAAACGTTAAATGTCGTTAAGTTTTATAAAAATAAAAAATTATTCAAAGAATTATTAATAAAAATTTTCATTTACTTATCAAAAAAAAAGAAAAGCCACTAGCGGTAACGGAATGGAGTTTTGTTAATTTCGATAGCTCCGAAATATATTGATTCTAATGTAAAAAGTTAAAATTTTATTAACAAACAATCAATAGTATTTGTTATATTTTATTTAAATAAAGGAATATTTTATAAATTAATAATAATATTTATAATTTACTTATAAAAATTTAGAATTTACTGCGGTAACGGAATGGAGTTTTCTTTCTGTCGATGCCGACTACTCAACTGAAAATCTCATTTATACGGAATATTTTCTTTTCTTTCATCCTAATTCGCACTGATCTTCAATCACACTAGTATTCTAAATACTATTTACCTCTGTATTGCTCCCCTAACATGTTTGTTTATCTTTAATTTTTATATTTGTGACCGGTAACGGAATGGAGTTTTCAATGGAGCACAAAACTAATTTAATTCTAGAAAATAGAATTTGAAATATTTTGCCTTACCTTTTCCGGATTTAAGTAAAATAAAGAATAATTAATAAATATTACTAAACAAGAGATGAAATTAGATTTTAAATGGAAAGTAATATTCATTCTTTGAGTAAAATTAGCTTCATGCACGGTAACGGAATGGAGTTTTTGCACCATATGAATATGGATATTTCAGATAATATAAAATTTTTATTTTTTTTCTCATATGACCTGATTAAATCGTATTAAATACTATCATATGGCGGCCATTATTTTTATTAATTTTAAATATTTTTTAGAAAAATGTCTTGAACGTGTCATTTGTCCTTTTTGAGAGATTCACCCTTCTGTATAGAATTCAATTATTTTCAAATAAACGATTCAATCGATTTTGATATTTTTAAAAATATTTCATGAAAAAACACGATTACTTTTAAAAATTGTAATAAATATTTTTAAAAAATAACATATATTTCAACACTAAAAAAAAATTTATTTGATTTAAATAAAAATTTAATTCAATAAGTAAATATTTATTTGATAATAGACAAGTAAAATTGGTTCTTTAAATCAAATAAATTTTTTTTCAGTGAATAATACAAATTTAATTATTTCTAAAAAATTACAACTTCAATTATAACTAATTTCACTGAATTTTAACTAAATATTTTTCAAAAAACGAAATTCTTTAGAAGTTTTTATTAAAGTTACTCAAAATTGAAATTTTTATTTGAATGTATGATTAAAATTTAAAGTTTTATATAATTTGAAATTTTATATAATTTAAATTTAGACAATTTTAAAAATTTTTATTAAACTATATTATATTAAAAATCAATTAATTTAGGGAGAAGAATTTTTAACTAAAATTATTCCCTAAATTAATTGATTTTTTATATATTTGGAAAATTAAATTATTAAAAAACTAAAATTCAAATTTTATTTTTAAATGAAGTAAAGTTACTAAATTGTTTCGATAAATTAATTATTTTTAGTTAATTTTAGAAAATCATTCGGAAAATCCAATTATTTAAATACAAAAATTAAATTTTTATTTCTTTTTAACTAAATTTCTTTGCTAAATTAATTATCCTTAGTAAATTTCAGAAAATTGTTCTTGAAATTCATTTATTTAAATTACAAAATTGAAATTTTATTTATTTTGAACCAAATTTTTTCGCATTTCTAAAAATATTTGACAAAAG